TTCATTTCAGATAACAGCTTACGTCGGCAGAAACATGCATTCATACATCATTACGCGCGTGTCTACATAAGCACTTTACAATAACATAAGCAGATAAATTTCCAAATAAGCTGAAGTCTAAAGTAATTTACGATTACAAATTAAATATATCTCTTCACATAAAAAATAATAATTACAAGAAGAACAAAAACTAAAAACTTGTATTTTGATGTGACATTTGCCGATTATCAACCGTGTTAATACTTTTGTATGTAACTTTTACAGAAAATTATCAACATTTTCAGATTTCCTCTGTTTAAATTTTTTTTTTTTTTTTTGAGCAATTTTGGGATTTGGTCATAAGATCTCTGCATTATTGACAAAGACGTCCTTAAACCACAAACAATTTTTGTCATAAAATATAATACATACCAAGGAAACTACCGTAATTTCAATTCATGAAGGTCATTAAAAGAAACAATACATCACAAATAATACAAAAGAGTTATGTACCAGTTCTCGGCTGCCGACAAAAAATCAACGCCCCCACTATTTCCTTTCATAATACGCAGAAATAAGTAAAGCTTTCTCTAAAATTGCTATACTGGCCTACCTGTTATCTTTTAGATCATCTTGCTTTTCTTCTGTGACCATGTCTTCATTTATATTTATAAATAGTACCAGAGCCGAAAAAATTATACATTCCTGTGGAAACTGTCATACGGAAAGGAACCGAACTACTGCAATTAAAGTATTATCAGTTACAAAGATTTGTTAAAATGGGCTCTTGGCTTAACTTCAATTTCAAACCAATCGTCATCGATATGCCACTATTTAAGTATAACATATATCGAGGATCGGTGACAAAAGAATGCTGTGCCGGCGTTATAGGGGATAATATTTCAAAACGTACTGCTAATATTCACCGTGACGATAACGCAAATCAAAATGAGGGCAGCCCAACACCACAGTCGCCGCCCTCTGTGGAAAATTGCTCAGCTGAAAATAGCTCAGATGAGGATAGAACATCCGACTCCAACATCGAACTTACTTCTCCACCCATTTTGGATACAAGAAAACTCGAGCTATACCAGGTTAAGGCCGCTGACAAAAATGCTGACATTACACCATCTCCACGGAAAGTTGACAAATGGGAACGCATGTTAGATCAAGGTCTGTTAGCACTTAAACTGAGCATCGAAAGGGATCCTGATTTAACACCTCCGCCAGATGCGTGCATTGAAAACTGGGAGGGAACGTGCGTTGAGACGAAGAAGGTGAATGGATATGGTACAGATTAGCAAAACAAAATTGCAGAAAATATTCTGAAATGTGACCGAATTTTTTTTTGATGATTAACGGACAGAAATTAAAAAAGATACATATATATATTTATTGAAAAAAATGGATTTTTTTGTGTTGTATAGTATATGATTTTATATTTTTGGCTTTATTAAGCTTTCCAACTTAGTTTCATTCAGATAATCAATATCTCAGTGTAGTATATTGTGAAGTTAAATAAGTGCCGTTGTATGAAGGTAGGCTTTGACCTTGTGATTACTTTACAAATAATGGTACTAAGTACTGTACTGCACACATTGTTTTATTTGTATCGTAACGGATTTTATTAATTTTTCCTTGTAACTTTTTTAATAATTTATGAACCAGTTTTTATCCACTTTTATGTGAAAAGTTTCGTTTAATTCCCCTCATTAAATTCAGCACATATTTTTTTGTTAAGGCAGTAAATTTTTAATTCGTCGACGTTTTCGGCAACTCGATGATCCTTTTTCAAGTTCCGTTTGACAGTTGCCCAGTACTTCTCTATTGAACGAAATTCTGGAGCGTTTGGAGGGTCTCCTCTTTTTTTTTAACAAAATTGGCATTGTTGTCCTTCAATAAAGCCAAAGGACCTTGTATACTGTGGTTAAATCGGGCCAAAATAATGTTGACCTCATGTGTTTCTTATAAAATGGTATAAGGCGACGGTTTAGACACTCCTTTTCATAATTGTCAGCCGATATAGTAGCCTTTGAGGAAAATGGAGTGATCTTAAGGCCGCAAAGGCAAATAGCCTGCTAGATGAGTATTTCCTCGGCAAATTTTTCTATTTCAATTGTTAACACTGACTGGTCCACAGTACCATCTTTTGGTTTCGTATACAATTGGGCATCTGATAATATTCTTGAGTCCATTTTTATGTTCCATCGTCCTTTATAATGCACTCAACAGAATATTTTAGCAAACGATCCTATCGATGCATTATGTATCTACATAAAGCACTCGTTTGATTGAGACATCTGACCCTCATGCGCCAAACTCGGTCGCATGAAATTGATATCGGTCAGTAGCGGAAGACAGGTACTAGCGTAGCTCTACTAAACTCGTAGACATGCATGTACGCCTGTGCTTGTGCCATTAGACGATATGTGCGCTAAACCTGTGAATACATTAAAATAAAACTAAAAAACGTTAAATATATGACGCTTTCGAACATATTTATTTATCAATAAAGCAATAACCTAAGTGAACGCTTAAGCAAACCTGCGCATGGACAACATATAAACATAGATATTTATGTTTGTATATGCTTGCACTTGAGCGAGTAACAGAATGTCTAAATGTTATTTGCAAAAATTAATGAACTGTTTCATTGCCTTTGCTATGGCCAAAGAGAGCGCCACAGCATTGACGACACACACACACACATTCAAGCTAGTAAACTCAAGCCTGACGTTGTTGCTTACTCTCTTCTTATTAATGCCTACCAAAGCCAAAAGACTACAAAGATAATTCAGCAAGGGGAGGCGAAGGTGTGACGTGGAAGGTTAGTCGCGCATAAATTTTTAGTGACGAAAGAAAGGTAACAAAAAAAGTAGCTAAAACGTTGATAAATATGCAATGTTAATATTCGTATGCACAGGCAGATGTTTGAATACATGATTGCAGGTGTGTATGGCTGTATACTATATGAGCCTAAAGCCGTAGCTGGACAGCGAATTAAAGCAAGTCAATGTTAAGATATAAAAGCTTATTAAAAGCAAAATATTACTACATATTTGTACACTGAAAATATATACATACATACATATACATATATTTATGCATAAATGTAGGTTTGCATGTATATATGTATGTATATTTACTTACACTTTTGCAAGCGTTTCTTCCTACCCCAATTACCAAACAAATAAAAAAATTTGTATAGCCAGCAGTGGGTAAATTCACAAGAAAACAAGAAACTATTTGTTGTGTATGTTTGTATGTAACTGAAACTTATTTACATACATACATACTTATTACCTACATATAAACACAGATGCATATTCCATTGCATGTGTGCCCACGTGTGTATTTGCCAAGTATGTTTATTAATTTATGTTATTTGGTAATTTCAGTATGCCTGAAAATTAATTTTGTATTCTACTAAACCGTAAGTGCGTTTGAGTGTGCATTTTGCCGTGCTCTCTTTGCACTCACTCAAATCGATTGCTCTTTGGCAATGGCAAACGCCGTTGTTCCTCGCTCGCCGCTTAACGCAGTAAAACAAGCATTTTTTAATTATACATCACTTGATTGCTTGATGGTTTTGTTATTGTATTTTGTTGTTATGATTATTATAGCTGCCCAGTTCATTTGACATTGCGCTACTCAATGTTCTAATCGCCCATCAACGCGCTTTTGTTACGAATTCAAGTATAACCGTCGCATTGTCTCAACGTTACAGTGGTTACCCAGTACTCAATGACAGCAATATGGAAAGTGAGGAAAAGTGCGGGGCGTTTTATGCGAAGCTACAACACTAATGTAACGACCAGTAGACTCCCTTTGGCGTCTGCATTATTGGGGCTGTTATTATACGAGTACACTCCGATCAAACAGAAAACGAACCGTACAATGATTATACATACATACATTCCTGCTACCTACATACAAGAAATGCAACATGAGCACTCTCTCGTGCTCTTTGCGGTCGACTGTTTATCTGCCTTGGCTGGTGCGACTTTATTGCCTCGCATTTGCAGCCATAGAGCTACACATATACTTATATTGAGATACATACATATGTATGAACTATTGGCCTTACCCCAAAGTGTCTATAACGTCACATAGGTAAACGGTCCTCTGCTGTTGTTGGCAGTCGTCAGGCTGTTGATTCTGTTAGCGCTCTGTTATGGCGCTGTACATTGTTCAGCCTTCCGCCTGCTTGCCGTCTGTCAGTTGAAATCAGTCGGTTTGCCACAATCAGCCGAACCAAACAGCCAATTGACGGGTATACTACAGTTCAGTTCACTGTGAACGTGAGAACCGTGTGGACGTGCTTGAAAATATACGCGGAACATTTGTTTTCACCACAAACACCAAACGCCAACTAACCAGCTAGCTAGAGCTCTATCTGTCTACAACAAACGCAAAGAGACTCTCGCTTACATGAAAACCCAAAGCCACACACAGACTCACGGTATAAGAAGGAGAAAAACAACAACGACAAACAAATGCATTACTAGCGAATGAACTGTAGTAGTGATGGCAATAGCTGAACTGTAACTGATCAACATACTCATAATTAATTAATTGTGTGTTGATAACAAAAGCTACAACAACAAAATATGTTAAATAGTATACATTAAAGTTGTGTAAATTTCATAAAAAAATTTTTTTTAAATTAGTTAAGTGCATAATGTTTAAAATTATTGACAAATATTATACGCAAGGATTTCCAATAAAAACACAGTAACAAAAAACTAAAAGAAAGCAAAAATTAAAAATTTGTGTTAATAATATTTTGTATATACTATATTCAGAGCGTTTGTGCAATTGCTTAAAACGTATTAACAGCAATTAAAGAAATTACATTAAGAAATAAACTAATTAACATAAATCAAACATTTGCAAAACATTAAAAAGCCAAGGCGTGAAAATTCAAAAGGCCGTGGATTATTTTGAATTTTCAACGTTTTTAATAAATGCATGTTAGTAAATAAAAAATCATAATAATTTTACAATATAAAAAATTTAAGTAATTGTGAAAAATTCAAATGCATTTTAAAAACTGAAATATATACAATATACTGTATGTACTTATTTTGGTGATTCAATTATTGACTGCTAATGAAGTGACTAAACGTGCATTACATACATTGAAGCCACGCAGAGCAGAACCACAACCATACTTATTTGCAGATAAAATAGTGGGCTTGTGTTTTATTTGCATAGCATTAAATTATAAATACAACAACAATTCTGTGGAAATTTGGCAGCAAATTTTTGTGAAACTGAAAAGTGCAATGAACCACAAGCGTGTTAATTGAATAGAACACACCATTAAAAAATTAAAAGTCATCAAGGAGCTAAACATTTATATCTCATTAATACTGTATTATAAAAAAATTAGGAAAAAAATTAAACTAACATTTTGCAAATCCAGAAGAGATTTTCCTGCAAAAGAACATGTGCAAATATATGAGTATTTATGTAATTTAAATTAAAATTGAATAAATAAAATTGTCTGTGACAAAACATTACAGACACATATACACAAAAAGGCCAAAGCTAAAAGCAAGACAAATCAGCAATCTGCCACAGTTGCAGCAACAGCAAAACAAAAAAATAATTAAGTGGAAATAAATTGTGGTTTGCCTTGCAACAGACAAGAGAAGCAGAAGCACCAGCGGCGACGGCGACGGTGACGGCAGAAAACTAACAACAAATTGCAATTGCAGTGATCTATCAAAACAACAAACACATAAAAAGCCAAACGTTACAACAAACACGCAGGCAAGAACACACACGCGGCAGCCAAGTGGTTGAACAAGTTTTTCTGCGCTCTTAAATAGATGTGTAACACTCTTGAGTTAAATGTACACGTAAAAGGTGCACAATACAAAGCCAAAAATAACAACAACAAAACAATAAAAAATAGAAATCTCGAAGTATAAGAAATGATAAGTAATTTGCAAGAAAAAAACTAAACAGTGAGTCTAGAAAAAACTGGCATATCGTTTTTGAAAGACACTTAAGTTGCCCTTAGCAAACACATTCACACGTATAAACAATAGCAGTGGCGAAAATTTTCTCAAAACTTACAACAAGTCCACTCAAAAGGGTGAAGTCTGTGACTTGGTGGCAAATTACCACACGCTACGTTACTCAACTCCAGTTTCACCACACTTAACGCGACGCCAGTCACCACACAGCGCACAAGCGTAGCACAGCGGTAGAGCAGAAATTTTGTGCGAGAAATTCAATTAAAACCCAAAGCGAGTAAGAAGTGGACACAACAACAAAGCTATAAACAAACATCAAGCGAGCGAGAAACTCTTACGAAGGTGAAGCAACAACACTTGTGGTTGTTATTGTATATTAATCTACACGGAATTAAAGGAAACTCGCGCAACAAAAGTAACAGCAACAAGTAAAAGTAAAATGACCTTGCCGACAACAACAACAGTGAACGGTTGTGACGACGATTCCGATATGTTCGGTCCGCCACGTTCCTCGCCCATCGGCTATCATCATCATCGCTCGCGTGTGCCCATGATATCGCCAAAGCTGCGTCAACGCGAGGAACGCAAACGCATATTGCAATTGTGTGCGCACAAGTTGGAGCGCATCAAGGATTCGGAGACGAATCTCCGCCGTAGCGTGTGCATCAATAATACGTATTGTCGTCTAACCGACGAGCTGCGGCGGGAGAAGCAGTCACGCTACCTGGCGAATTTGCCGAGGTGAGTACGAGTGAAGTGGAGTTACCGATACTTACGCTACGTACTTACGTATGCCTGTATGAATGTGTGTACGATTGTATACTGTATGTTTGTGAGAAGAATGGTTAAGATGCGAAATTGCAGTAAATAGCCTTATAAAGGCAAGTGATTAATTAAGTAGTATGTATCTGTGTTTATACATATGTTGTATGTATTTATATATGTCTGCACATAAATATAAAGAACATATGTATAAGTAAAAACTTAATTAAATTTAAAAAAATCAAAGACTAATTAAATTAATTAAGAATTGAAAATAAATATAAAAATATCAATCAGATGACGTCATCATATCTTTAGTTCATTAAAACTGCAAGCAAAAATAGCGTTTTATGAACCCTCCTAGCTGCGCATAAGTAGCTTATCATAAAGCTTTAGCTCCACACCCCCTCCAATGTAGAAGCTTGGCATATTTTATTGTGGAAAATTGTGCGGTCGTGCATAAATACATACATACATATGTATGTGTGTATGTATGAACTACATTACTACAAATTGATGTACCTTTGCATATGCGACGAGACGCTCAACGTTGGACCAACGTGAATACGCATTTTCGAATAAGCTAGCTCATCGCTATATGTATAATAGCGCCAGCACTACAAGTGCTGATGACTTATTCAGTTTTATCAGCAACGTGTGCACACAAATAACCACACAAACAACTACCACGAGAGGCCCAACATCTATGTATCTGCTGCGAACTAGATATAAAACGCGGATATTCGCCGCACTGACTGAATTGACTTGAGCAGATACTGCGCCGCGCTCACGCAGCGGCCTGCCGTTTACTGCCTGGCTGGCCTGTTTGACCGAGCCACGTGTCACTGCGCCTGCAATGCCCATATGGCGTACTGTTGTTGTTGTTGATATTATTTTTGTTGCTGTCGTTTACGCCGTGCGACAATTAACAACTCGCGGACACAAGTCCACGGAGCAATAATATAGTAATATAAAAAAGTACCCAGCCAGCAGCTCGGAGCGTACGATTCATTTGATTCTGCGAAAATTAATTGAATTGCCGAAGCGTAAAACCGTTTTTTCCTCTTTTTTCAAGTTCTCATTTCGTTGATTTGTTTAAGATTTTGTGTGTCTTCTCCGATTATTTGCTATTCTGAGCGATTTTTTCTTTTTCTTGTTTGCTTTTTTATGCCATTTTGCTGTTATTACCATTTTTATTCCGTTGTTTCGTCGATTATGCGGACATTGATTTAATGTCCTACTACTAATGCGCATGAAAGTTTGGCTTCCTGTGCGGAACGCTGCGGTTGCTGTTGCTCCGCTCACTCTCTATGGCTTGGTCGTTCACATACTTAATTGCGATAATTATGTACATATACTACAGACGTACATATGTATGTATGCATGTGTGTGGATAGAAGCGTGTGATTGAAAACTTTCTGATTTGTATACAAGATATAGTTTTATAAGACGAAAACATGATCAATAGTAAATTAAAAATATCTTTTAAATAAGTATTTAATGTTTATTTTCTTTGTACATTTGGAATTACCGTAACAATTTTACTACTATCAAATTTAAAAAAACGCTCCCGTTAACTTGAATTAATTTATATTACATTTTGTTATAATAATCCTAAGCAACACTTTCTCAGAAATATTTGAAAACTTTTAAAACGACCTACACAAGCATACATACGTGCACCCGGCATGTGACTTTGGCTTTGTTATACATTTATACACATTTATTTTTAGCACAATTCGTAATTTTAGTGGGAATTCCTCATTTCGCTACACGGAAAATCACACACTACATATGTACAAGCTAGTTTGATGAATTCTTGCGGTTTAATTTATTTATATGTACATACATACAAACACTATTTAATTGAACTGAACTGGTGCAGATATTTATGGTTACATACATACATATGTAGTACATTGTATATGCATTCACATAAATGTGCGACTGGTTTTCTACATACGAAAATTAGCTATTTTTATATATGTACATACATACATACTATGTACATGTGTAATGCTGTCTCTTATACACATCTAGATGTGTATAAGAGACAGGTATATGCATTCACATAAATGTGCGACTGGTTTTCTACATACGAAAATTAGCTATTTTTATATATGTACATACATACATACTATGTACATGTGTAATGTGACCTAACGCTTAATAGTAATGCAAATTGATAAGGAATTTCTTTACGAACTATGTAAATGTAGACAAATGTAAACACCAAAGAGAATTTTAATGAAAACTCTAAAATCAATGTTTATCAAAAAAGTGTGCAACTCAACTATTAAAAAATAATATTTAAAAAATAATATTTATTAAAATAATTTTCGCATTCCGCAATTCCAACTCAAAACTATATTTTCTAAGATTTTCAACTAGTTTCAACTAGTGATACTGTGCAAATATTTACAAAAATATAATAAGAAAATCGAAATAGTATATACGATTACAAAATTTTATTTAACCCAAAAATATGTTAAAATCAGATACGTTAATAATTTACAACATTTAATTTAAAACAAGTAAGGAAGGGCTAAGTTCGGGTGTCACCGAACATTTTATACTCTCGCATGATAAAGTGATAATCGAGATTTCAGGCGTGGTTGTGAACCGATTTCACCCATATTTGGTACATGTCATCAGGGTGTTAAGAAAATATTATGTACCGAATTTCATTGAAATCGGTTGAGTACTTCCTGAGATATGGTTTTTGGTCCATAAGTGGGCGACGCTACGCCCATTTTCAATTTTTAAAAAAGCCTCGATGCAGCTTCCTTCTGTCATTTCTTCCGTGAAATCTAGTGTTTCTGACGTTCTTTGTTAGTCGGTTAACGCACTTTTAGTGATTTTCAACATAACCTTTGTATGGGAGGTGGGCATGGTTATTATCCGATTTCTTCCATTTTTGAACTGTATATGGAAATGCCTTAAAAAAAACGACTTTATACAACTTGGTTGACATAGCTATAGTAGTTTTCGAGATATGTACAAAAAAGTTAGTAGGTTTCCAAAAAAATTACGTCCAGATATGCCCCTCCCTAGTGCGATCCTCTGTGCCAAATTTCATTTTAATATCTTTATTTATGGCTTAGTTATGACACTTTATAGGTTTTCGGTTTCCGCCATTTTGTGGGCGTGGGCCGATTTTGCCCATCTTCGAACTTAACCTTCTTATGGAGCCAAGAAATAATGTACCAAGTTTCATCATGATATCTCAATTTTTACTCATGTCACAGCTTGCGCGGGCGGACGGACAGACGGACAGACGGACGGACGGACAGACAGACATTCGGATTTCAACTCTACTCGTCACCCTGATCACTTTTTTATATATAACCATATATCTGACCCTTTTAGTTTTAGGACTTACAAACAACCGTTATGTGAACCAAACTATAATACTCTCTTTAGCAACTTTGTTGCGAGAGTATAAAAAAAAAGAATGAAATAATGAACTGTAAAATAATTTTTCAGTGGTGACCGTGACAAAATAATTCAGTTATTTCACACTTACTTACATATGTATGTAAGGCTGTAGTAAGCATTGTTAATTTTTTTTTTATTATTAATTTTTACTTACCGTTCTGGGTGAGATCCTGGAAATAGCAGCACTTGGGCGCATAAAATTCGGGTCAATTCCGGTAACGTAGAACTGTTATGGGAATTGTAAGCGTTATAAGTAGTAGATGTATCTTCTTAACAGAGACAGTCAACTGACAACTAAATTGAACGTCACGACTGACTTAACAAGTGTAAGTGCATTTGTGAACCCAGCAGCAGCTTCTTGTAGGGGCTCGACTTTCAAATACATATGTACACAGAAGTCAATTAATACAATTTGGCATCCAAACAGTGAAACAAGGTACGCCAGTAACAATAAATCAAATTCAGAAGCACAAAGCAAACGAAAAATACGTTAATAAAGATAAATCCGTGCTTTAAAATATTAATGTGCATATGTTTGACTGTAAAAAAAGCAAAGCGCAAACAGCAAAATGTCGAGAAAATAAAAATTGAAAGCTTTCTATTATAACAGAAAAGCCACACTGCATAAACTACAACAATTACTTGTAATGTAAAAAGTGTAAAGTGCATAAGCAGAGAAAACGGAAAATCCATATCAAACAACAACAACCTAACTGTATGCAATACATCAACGTATTAACAAAGCGCAGTTCAAAAAGTGCGACCAACAAACACAAAAATAAAAACATACATACATACATGCATGCATACATGCCTAAGTATGAAAAAGCAAAAACATCAACAACAGTAGGGCTGCATAGTACATGCGCTTGCCACAGCCAAAAAAGTGGTCAACATATTTAGTAATTGCACCAGTACACACACGCACGCAAACATATACAAATAAAAATGCAGCAACTTACATTTGTACATATACATATATATTAAAAATATAATATAATATGTAATTATATATATTAAAAATATAATATAATATGTATCTGTAAATAAAAAACTGAGCGCACTTGTTCTTTGTTTTTTGTAAAAACAAAGAAACTGTCTCGCAACTGGAGAAAAAAGAAAGCAAAAAGTGCAGAAAAGCTTAAAAAGTAGGAACTGATCAAAAACATAAATAAGGAAGCGCTCACTTCGGCTATAACCGAATATTTTACATACATATGTATATTGCCATTTATTTGTTTTCGCTTAATGGCATTTTAAGTATTCCTCTTGGATTTCTAGTTTCACGTAGTCATGTATCTCAACTTGCGCTCAAGCAAAAACATAAAAACCACGAAAACAGTTGTTAAGTTCACACATATTCACATTCCTTTATAAAAAATGGAACAGTTCGAAATCTTACAGAAGCTTATTTTTGTAGAGCTTCACGCGGTGCTTAAGTAAAAAATTGCAACCTTGTATTAAATATTGAGCGATATTTTCATTGATTGGTGATCTGTGAAAACACATACGGATATGAAACACAAAATAAAATTTGCCTT